TGGCAGAGTGGAGAGTGGTGCAGGAGAAGAAGACCCTCGATGAGATGGATCGATTCTGTGAGTGGGGTGGTGGGAATGAATGTGTTTGAGACAGCGAGGTTGGCACAGGATAGGATGGCATTTAGGGCTCTTGTACATAGGGTCGCTATGAGTTGCAAATGACTCGATGGCACATAACAACAATAACAACAACTCTCAAAAAAGAGAAGTCAACTTGAAAGAAACTAAGCAAAGATGCAGGAGAATGAAATTAAACAACTAGTCACTTGACCATGTAGACATAGTCAGATTACTTCACACAAATAAAATGTAATTTAGCTTCTTTTCAAATGTACATGGTACATTCTCCAGAACTGGTCATACATTAGGACACAAAGCAAGCCATAACAAATTAAAAACCACTAAAATATTTGAAAGCATCTTCTCAGGCTACAATGTCACAAACCCAGAAATCAATAGCAAGAGGATAAAGGATAATATAAAAAGAGAAAGGGCTGTGTGGAGATGGCTATATCTGACCCTTACCAACATCACAAAGGGGAACTGTTCCTGTCTGCAGCATCAACAACACAAAACCAATTTCCACAAGATTGGGCATGTCCTTCCTGCTCTTTCTACACATCTGAACACCATTCTTTTTATTTTTTTTGTAAATTTTTTTTGGTTTTAATAATTTTAATGAACATTTACAGAGATTTTGGATTTCAATTCATTCATTGCTACAATTCTTTCCTGCCCAGCACCGCCCCCCTGCTGCCCCCCAGTTCGCTCCTCTCTTTGAAAAGTAAAAGAAAAACTCCCTCCCTGGTACACAATCCCCCCTCACCCCTCCCACCGCCCCAATTACATTCCACTATGCAACCTTAATTGTGAACTCTTGTGATAACCATGACAACCTATCATACATCGCTTTTAAATTATTCTCTCCCTCATCTGTTTCAGTGCAGTATACACAATTTATCCAGTTTTCCTCAGTCCACCATTCTTACTCTGGGTCCAAAATTCTCTGCTCACAGACCATACAGAACCATATTGGGAAAGTCAAAAGGCTGTAATCCAGATTAATAACAGAATATAGTCAAAACAGTTCCCAAAATGTGCTCAGTCTCGAGCCTTCAGAAAAGTGTTCCCAAGATCTTGTCTTGTCAATATTGGCTTCCCACTCTCAGTTGTCCAACCAACAGAGTTCTCAGTCCTGCTTCCCTGATCCCCCCAAACAAGGTCCATTTCATGTCATATCTCCAGTTTGGCCATAGGTGCTGCTGCTGGAGGTGTAGCTGGAGCAGGAATGGCATCCTCCATTGTCTTGCTTTCTCTTCAATAAAGCCAGAAGATCTGTCTCTCAGGAATGTTTCTTATACCCATTATACTCTACACATCTTTTTAATTTATGAGTGAAGAGTTTACTGGTAAGGGTTAATTACCTAGGAGATTGTTACATGTCTTAAATAATGTTCATAAGCAGAGTCTTGTTACAGCCCACTTGGGTAAATAGATGATAATACTTAATCACCATGGAAAACATAAACAGAAAAAAATCCGTTGCCATGGAGTTGATTCTGACTCATGATGACCTCATAGTTACAGAGTAGATTTGCTACAGAGGGTTTTGACAGACTGTGCTAGATGACCAATTGCTAGAGATAAGAGGATCAGCAAAGATGAAGGGAACCCTCAATAAGATGAATTGACTCAATAGCCAAAGCAATGGACTCAAACATAGCAGTGATTATAAAAATTACACAAGACTGGGCAACATTTTGTTTTGTTATCCATAAATTTGCTGTGAGTCAGACCTGAGCTATACATTATTAACATATAAGTAGATTTCAAGGCCTTTGCAGTATTTCTTGGTAAGTTCAAACTTCTAATCTTTAGGTCAAGCACCATTTGTGCTACCCTCAGATCTGTATCATCCAAAAGAGCTATAAATTCCTGATAAAAATATATAAATCTAGAGTGATTTATTTAGTCTTGTAATTAGTGTTTTCCAAATAGTGCATTATTTCTAACAACTGCTTCACATTGTTGGTATGGTTAGTGCCATTTTATATTTCTGATAATTGAAACACAGAAAGGGTAAATAATTTGGACAAAATGACCCCAAGTGGAATTTTTAAAACTCATTTGAAAGATAAAATAATAAAAAGGTTAAGCTACCCAGCGTACCCTATTAAAGGTATCCCTTAAACTAGAAGCTGAGCTCTTCTGGTCTTTAGCCTGGTCTCTTCCTGACTGTCATTGTTTGCTCTGAACCCTTACCCAATCAAGGGAAATCTGTGCTGAAGGAAGCATGTGATCTTGACCATGGCAGCTTTTAATGGCCTAGACAGGAAGCAAACAAGTGCCAGGGAGAGAATCAAATCTCAGGACAGAATGTCTATAAAGGAAATAATTTGGCTTCTTATTCTGTTGACCTATTTTAATTGCATGAAAACTGATGTTTGAAATCTTGAATAAATATGTGTTCAACACTAAAGGACATCTAGAAGCAGGATGCAGTTTCCCAGCTACAACATGATCTCTAGCTTCCTTCTGATTTAAATTCCAGTGAAACTCTCCAACAAAGTCAATAATAAGAAAAAGGAAATAAGATTAGAACTATGTGAGAGATAGAAGAATATAAAATTGTTTTTCTATTTGAGCATTTAAAACATGAATTTACTAAAATCTGTTGATAATCATGTCTTGGAGAGGGTGCAGCTGGATTGCTCTTTGGAGATAGATAATGAGGCTTCACATCACATACTTCTGACCTGTTGCTAGGAAGGGTTCTTTGGAAAGGGACATGACGCTTGGAAGAGTAGAGGCTTGATGAAGGGAGGAAGACCTTTGACCAGGTGGATTGACACAGTGACTGACTCATTGGGCTCTACTGTGTCAGAAAATGTGAAGATGGCAAAGGATAAGACAAGGTTCAGATCTGTTCATAGGGTAGCTATGAGTCATACTCACTTGACAGTACCTAACAACAACATTGACACCATTTTAGGGAGCTCTAGTGGCCTAGTTGTAAGAAGCTGCATTGCAATAAGGCACACAGTTCAAATCCATCAGATATTCTGGGGAAAAGGATGGGCAAACTCTTCCTGTGCAATTTACTGTCTCTTAAAACCCTTTGAAGATCAGATATGGGTGGTTTCCTACCCTATGGCACAAAACAACAACAAAAATTGACACCATTAGAATGGCCATTGTCATTATCTGAATTTTATTAACTTGGAAAAAACATGTAATTAAAGAGTCTTCATCTAGAATTTCCAGCAGATTTTCTTTTTACTAGGGTCTTTGATTCTGAAATCGTTCCTCTATTTCCAACTAACAATAAGAAATTACGGCTTTCTGTCTTTATTTTCCTTTAGTTGCCCATCTTTCAAATATGTTCTCTAAATTTTATTCACAGCTTTCTCTGTGATAAATCCAAGTACTCTTTGTGCTCCTCTGGTACTTTGTGTATGTCACTGTCTTAAAAATTACCATAGTCATTCACTTCCTTCTATAAATATTCACTAAGTACCTATGTAGTTCTGGTGATATAAGTTATATTGATTGGTTGGTTGTTATGCATTAGAGTCTGAACCATCCTATAGCTAACTCTCCAGTGTTTTTCAGAAGCAGTAAATTGCACCGGAGGAGATTGCCCATCTTTCTCTTATGGAGCATTCTCTTATGGTAGATTTGAAGTGAATGCCTTCGGGTTGGTAGCATAGCTCCTTATCAGTAGGCCATCAGATAGACCACTTTTCAATGACCTTTCTAGCCATGGTCAGGAAAAAAGTGCATCAGGAATGGGTCCTGTCTCCATCTCTTTTCAATCTGTTTGCAAAACAGATCATTTGAGAGGCTGGACTTTATGAGGAAGAACGTGGCATCAGAATTGGAGGAAGACTCAATAACAATCTGTATTATGCAGATGACACAATCTTGCTTACTGAAACTGCGGAAAGCCTGAAGTATTTGCTGCAAAGGTAAAGAACTGTAGTCAGCAATATGGATTGAAGCTCAACATCAAGAAAACAAAGAGATTCTCACCACTGGGCCAACTGACAGTACCATGATAGATAGAGAAGAGAATGAGATTATTAACAATTTTAGCTTGCTAGGTTCCACAATCATCTCTTCCACCAGCAGTCAAGAAATCAAATGGTCAACTGCATTAGGAAAATCTGCCATCAGGGACCTCTCCAGAGTGCTGAGGAACAACAATGTCAGTCTAGAAAAAAAAGTGTACCTGATCCAGGTCATGGTCTTTGCAATTACTTGCTATATTATCAGAGAGCTGGACAAGATGGACAAAGATGACAGAAGAATTAATGCCTTTGAGCAGTGGTGTTAGAGAAGAGTATTGAATATACCATGGCCTGCTAAGAGGACAAACAAGTTCATCCTAGAGAGGGTGACATAAGGCTGTTCCTTGGAGGCAAGGATTTTGATACTTCATCTGACATACTTTGGACATGTTGCAAGGCAGAATCAGTCCTTGGAGAGGACATCATGCTTGGGAGGGTGGAGGGACAGTGCAAGAGAGGAAGACCCTCGATAAGATGGATTCATTTTGTGACTAGGGTAATGTGACTATGGAGGCTGGTGTGTCAGACAATAAGATTGGCATAGGATAGAGCAGGGTTTAGGGCTGTTGTACATAGGATCGCTATGAGTCGCAGGCAATTCAACAACATATAAAAACAACAACAACCTCCCTTTCAATCCCTACTGTGATTATCATTGCAAAAAAGCATTGACCAAGATAAAGAGTTAAACTGACCTATGCATTTCATTCTTACATACGGCTTTCTCACCCAGAGACCAAATTGAAATTGTTTGAAAAATCTTCCAGATTGAGAGCTTTCTTCTCGTGATCCAGAAGCTTAATGTATTTTTCAAAAAGATTATGTAATGGGAATCCTGTGGATTACAGAGAAACAGTAATTCTCCAACATCAGCAAGGGCTAAACAAGAATTATTACTTAAATTGTTATAAGTTCCTCTTCTCCACTGAGCACTTTGTTATTTTTTTTAAATTGAAAAATACTCAACTGTTTGCTAGTGCTGAATATTTTAATCATAATAATAGATTGTTCACTTTACACTAAGCTCTGTGCAAAGCACTTTTGAAACATCTTATTTGATTTTGGCAGAAATCTTATGAACTAATGAACTAATACTTTAAACCCTTATTTTATAAATGGAAAAAATGAAAGAGAAAAGACTTTAGCTGGTCAAATACAGTAATAGGTGGAGTGAAAATTCAGAATCTAAACCCTGATCTTAATCTCCCTATCTGAATATCTAAATGTTAAACTATTTCTTTAAAAAAGGTTTTCAAAAGAAAGATGGTAAAGCCCCATACAGATACCAAAGAGAGAAACAAAAACACATTAGGAGGTTTAGATTCTCAGCTTTTAAAAGGTCATATAGGAACTGTGATTGCTATGATAGAATTTATTATCCAGAAAATGTTATTTTTCTCCTCATTAGGACCCTAACTAATCTGAAAAATTGACATCTTATTAAACATCACATAAGAGACAAACTGATGAAAGACAATAGGAATGAAGAAAGGATTTTACAAGATTATCTTAGAGATGAGAGTCATTTAGGGAAAATAGAAGTGGAAGAAAAAGAACCTGTGACAGTACAAGGCTGTGTTTCTTGTAAAAAATAAAAACAAAAGCCAAAAAAAAAAAAGCTAGTTAATTCTGATTCTTGGGGATATCGTGTATGTCAGAGCAGAGCTGTGCTCCATAGAATTTTCAATTCTTATTGTTTTGAAATAGATAATTTTTCCTTTCCCCCACTCTGGATTGACTCAAGCCTTTTGGTTATCAGCTGAGCATTTTAACCATTTGTATGCCTCACCCATTGCCAGTCAATTGATTCCAACTCACAGTGACCTTCCCTTGGGTTTCTGGGGTTGTGCAACTTTATAGGAGGATACAGCAAGTTGTTCATGTTGGAACAGCTGGTAGATTCAAACCTCTGACCTTCTGGTTAGCAGTAGAAAGTGTATGTCACTAGGACTCTTCACAATCCGTATGAGGCCCCAGAGTTTACTGGCTAAAGTTGTCATCCATTATAAGAGAACAAAAGAGCAAGGAAACATGAAGATAGTTCAGAAGATACATAGCAGAAAAGATATGATGTATATTAAATATTATTTTGTTGTTGTTGTGCACTATTGAGTCAGAACTAACGCATAGTTGATGTGCCAGTGGGTTTTCAGAAGTAGTAAATCACATGAGAATTGACTGCTCTTCTTTCTCTCACGGAGCAGCTGTGGATTTGAACTGTGTACTGCAATTTCTTACCATTAATCTACCAGAGTACCCTACACATTAGTATGTTGTCAGCTTTAATTCACCGAAGTTCTTCCCTTTATTGTGATTGCTGTTAGGTACCATTGAGTCAAGTATGGACCATAGTGACGCTATGAGCAACAGATCTGAACCCTGCCCTATCCTATACCACCCTTAGAAGTTCTGACACACTCAAGTTCATTGCTTGAGTTGCTGTGTCAATCCACCTGGTTGAGGGTCTTTCTCTCTCTCTCACCAGTCCTCATGATGTCCTTCCCCAAGAAAGAGCCTCTCCCACTTAAAATGCCTGAAATATGTGAAATGAAACTTTATCATTTTTTGCTTCCAAGGGGAACTCCAGATATGCTTTCTTTAAGACATATGTTTGTTCTTCTGGCAGTCCATGGGATATTCAGTATTCTTCTTCAACACCATGCCTCCAAGTCTTCAGTTCTTCTTCTCTCATCCCTAGTGATTGAAAAGACCATGGCCTGAATCAAGCACACATTAGTCTTTAAACTGATACCATTGCTCCTCAATAATTTGAAGAGGTCCCTAATTGCAGACTTTTCCAGTGTTATATGTCTCCTGATCTCCTGATTGCTCACACCAAGGGTGTTGATTGAATATCTAAGGAAGATGAAGTTGTTTGACCATTCCAATCTTTTCTCCATCTGTCATGTATAGACAGTAGATTCAAGAAATGTAGCTTTGGGTTGTATCATTTACAGTCTGTGTATCTTAAAAAAATTTATTGTTCTTAAAAATATTCACAGTAGACATGTACCTATTATTTCTACACAGTGACATCAGTTGTATTCTCAAGTTGTACAATCAGTATTACCATCCTTTTCATAGTGATTTTTCCCCTACTTGGCATAAACAATCTGTTCCTTTAGCTTCCTGCTTAACCTTTTGAGCTAATATGCTGCTGCCATTGTAAATTTGATCCCATATGAGTTTGGGTAGTTGTGGGGTTTCTTCTATTATTTTTAAGAACACAGTGATTAAAGCAAACTACATATAAATTTCAGAAAGCTGGGAACAACTACATCTCACCATAAGTGTTGCAAGCTGAAAATATAATATTTTTTAAAGTAAAAAGTAAAGACATATTTATTAGAAAGTTAGGTTCTGAAGGATGAGACATACTTCCTTCCTTGGAAAGAAGAGGCCACAGTGGATAACTTTTAATAACTTTGATCTTAGATCCATAAGCCTAGGCTCCACTGAAGTAGTTAGGTGAATCAGAGTGGACCTATACTATTTTATAATGGAAATGCCTAAACTGGCAATTGTCTATTGCCCTAGACTGTTATTTAATATCTGCTTCATTGCTTAGCTCTTGTGATTCTTTTGCTCATGTGTACTGTGGTTAAGTAGACAAATTTTTGTTCCAAATTGCCTTTAGAGATAGACTCATATCAGTCAAACTCCAAGTGACTACTACTCATTGACTGTTTATGCACAGAGATGTTGAGGAATCTGGAAAAAAGATTGTCTACTAAAAGGGCTGAATTTTCTCAGAAGAGTGAATGAATTTCATGAGATTTCAACCTATTTCATTTACTTTTCTTACATGATTGTTGTTGGGTACTGTTGAGTTGGAACCAACTCATAGACTGACCCATCAACAGGTTTTCAGAAGTAATAAATCACACAGGAAGACATTGTCCATCTTTCTCCCACAGAGCAACTGGTAGATTTAATCTATCTACCTTTGCATTCACCACGGCCTCAGGAATTGAAAGCATACCAATTGACACATTTTAACAAACAGATGTTGCTCTAGATGTGCTCACCAAATTGTGCCAAGAAATCTAGAGGACAATCC